CAAGGGGTGATCCGCCCTTTAGATCCTGACTCGGAGTCTGAAGCTGAGCAGATTGCAGACCCATGCGAGGCTGTTTTAATCGGGCTCGAGCTTCAGGGCAAGCCCCGGGCACTGGCACCCGAAGGGTGTGATGACAAAGCCGCGGCCGAACCCACTCGCCTGTTGGTTGATGATCTTCAGCTTTCTGATCTTGGTGGTCGTGAATGTGCCAGGCTTTGTAATCACCACAGCCAGCTTTACATGCTGTCTTGTCAAGGGAGGAAGTGCAGCGTGGTCTCTTGTTTCAACAAGGTGCATGGGGCCCATAAAGGAACACCCTTGTGTAGCAAGCATTTGGCGGAGACCGGGCACTCTAATAGCCCCGCCCCTATCCATGGTACGGCGAAACGGAAGCTCCCTCCTCCACTCTATTCGAAGGAGCCAATCTGCTGATACCCGTCTTGAACTTGGACCCAGTCGAGCCGTCCGGTTCGAGGAACCGAGTTCCCCGGATATCGGACACCAGAGGCTTAGTTCTTCTGAGTACGAAAAACCCTCCCGGGCCGAAAGGGTGGCGCACCCAAAGGCTGGAGCACCAGTTTTGGTAAGACTTCACTGACTTCACCCTTTCTTTGGATCAGGGGTCAAAACCCACTGGTTCCTCTTTTTAGGGGAAGTCGAGGGTATTGCCGAAGACAGCCGCCGCACAGAAAGAGCTGCAGTAAAGGTCCCGGCCCTGGGTTTGCGTGTGAGCTTGCCATGGCATTGCCTTGGCGAACCGCCCATCACCGATCAGTCTGGCCGATACCCGAGAACCTGGTTGCAGGAGTTCTTGTACTCCGCTCCTAGAGAGCTTGAGGAGAGAGGGGTCTCGATCCAGGTCAGCCAGGTCGCACCACATTCGTGGGAGTGGCTCAAGGAATGGGAAGGGAGAGAGGTCAACGCCAAAGAGGCACCTTCCGCTAACCTCAGACCCGAACAACTCAGACAGTTGGTGAAGGAGCCGAGATTGGTTCTCCTCCCACATGACGAGGGCTTGGTTCTGACTAAGACAGCGGGAGGGGGGGTTCATCAATATCTGTGACTGTTGCTCCTAGGTGTACCACCCAGGAAGGTGGACCACCACAGGAGGTCGACAGTGGCGCCTTGCATGATTCATTCCGGGATGATCGTGCCCAGGGTGCCTCTATTGGTGAAGCCATCGCTTTGGTTGCCAGTGCCTACAACATTGGACCGGAAATCGTCCAGATGAGTGTGCTGGGAGCACTGGAAAGCACCCGGGGTGAAGACAAGGAAGAGGCCGGGCCCACCAATGATCCCCTTGCCTGGGCGGAAAGTCGACCATCTCTGACCGGAATTCAGGCGCCACCGCCACCACTGCCACCAGGTCTCTCGCAGGAAAGTAGTCTGGTTCAAACAAGGGTGGCACCGCCTGAAAATTATCTGCTGACCCCAGGTGGTGGACTACCTGACGCAGTTGCCCGTCTCTTCCCAACGGCCGGACACGATACGCCTTCCGGGCTAGTGAGTGCAGCTACCGGGGCTCTGGCTCTCCAGCAACCGTCCATTGGGCTTGGGCAGGGCCTCGTGCGCAAGGCAGGGGCAGCTTTTGGAGAACAACTTGGCCCTAGCAACCCCACCTTGGCCACTGATCGGATTATCCACGCCATTGATGGACTTCGCAAGGCGCAAGACGAGGATAAGACGGGGACCAAAGGGCAAGTGAGCTCCATCAAAGAAGGGGAGAAGCTTGACGTGTTTCTGGCCAGAGGATGCGGTCAGCTATCGATCGAACTCTGCAAGGGAGTCTATGGGAAGGAGCTATTCCACAGCATCAAGCGGGCCGGACTTCACGCGAAGCACGAGCTTGGTCTGATAAAGTGGCCAGTCCTGATCACCAACCCAGTGGCGTTGTCCATAGCTGGCTTATGGTGGGGTGGGACCGAGAGTTTCACACTACTGGCAGCTGATTGTGCGACGGCCAGAGTTGAACAAATCGAGAACTGGTCGCCACCGACCGAACATAAGTTGGAAGCCCGCAGTAAGGCTCCTACTACTTTTCTCACGTGGCTTCGCTACGCGGAAAACTCCATCAAGGTGTTTGGGAGTGCATACGGCCTCGAGCACGTCCAGGAGAGGAACAAGTTTCTACAAGCTCTCCGTGAAGCACACGAAGAGGATGAGAATGCCTTTCCTTTCACTTACTGTGTGCAGCTCTTTGAGGAGATGACCGCGGTGTGGTGTGAAGAAATCCGAGAAAGCCGACGACGCCTTTGCGCTAAGTTGGGTACCGAGAATCCCCGCTTGGAAGATTTCAAGCTGGTAGCGCTCTCTCCCAGCACCACGGGTCAAGCAAATTTCCAATTTTTGAGGGTGTGGGATTTGGCTGATCCAGCGGGCTATTACCAGAGGGTCGTCCTACCTCGCCAGAACAAGGCCATGGCACGGCTGCTCAACAAGCAGTTGCATGACCACGTCACCAAGGAAAAGCGGCCAGATCATCGCAAGACAGCGGGCCCTACTGAGACCTCGAAGCCTCGAACCCTTCGCCCGCAGACGGTCCGTCTCTGGAAGTGGAGGACACAGACAAGGCTGGTCGCGCCTCGATTGGCCTTGAGAGCCGACCCCAACAAAGCCGGGGATGCCTCGAAAGCCTACCCCGCGGGAAAACGCCTTAGCCCTGCCGAGGTTAAGAGATCCATCCAGCATGCTCCCCAATGCTCGAAAACCAAAAAGCCCATATGCTGGGATGCAGCTTGCCACATTGGCTGCCATCGGAGCGCCTGTCCTAACGCGCACGAGCGGTTGCCGAAGCTCTCCAAGTTGGATTACACAGTGGCTATGCAGGTGCTCCGGCGCGGAGGATTGCGTAACGGGCCGAAGGTGAATCCTCAGGAGGTTGATGGAAGAGTCGCACAACTCAGAGCCCAAGCTAAAGAAGAACAAGCCTCTAAGGTGGAACCTGGTGCTACCGCCCAAGGGAAAGCAAAGGCGCATCCCAAGGCCAAGGCTAAAGAAAAGGCTGGCTGGGCCGTCCCAGAGGACTATCAGGGACCTGTTACTCAACTCGAACGCGAGCTTGGAAACCTCGCCGAGGGACCTGATTACTCATGGCATCAGCAGTTTCGCCAGGACACGGAAGCCACAGCAGCGCAGGCCGGCACAGGTGAAGCACAGAGACGGAGGGACGTATATGAGAAGCTTCTAGCCAGCAAGAAGCTCGATCCCCTCTCGGGTTGTAGTGATCATCTCCATTCTCATGTGGCCTCTCATTTTATCAATGCAGAGATGCAAGGCAGAGCCTTACAGCTTTCGGAGACACTCACCCAAGCGATTGACTATGGACACCCACAGCTTGCTGAGGAGGCTCAGGAGGTGCTGAGTTCCATTGGTGCTAAAGCAGGTTTGGCTCTCCCCGAGCCCGAAGCTTGTTTCGACACCTTCTCTTGGGCGGACGGGATTGGTAAGGGCCAGACAACTTTCAGCCATCCCTTGTGGGAAGGCGTTCCGCCCCTTAGCATCCTGGATGCCCAGGACAAATTAACTCTTCCAGAAGATTTAAGGGTCGCCCTGCAGCTCGGCAGCGAGAGAGCTGAAGAAATGCGACAGTGCCTTTGTTTGCACGTTGCCTTGGCATTCGAAGCGGATCTGTCTACGGCATGGGAGAGAGCCCGTGACCTGAGACGAGAGTTGTGGGAGGATAGCAGTGCCGCCTTTCAGCACCTCGGTGACGCCAGCCCGTACATCAGCACCGCCGAAGCCTTCGTACGACACAATGCTCACGATTGCATTTACCCAGACCACGAAAAGGATTTTCGGGTTCTGCAGTTGTTTGCTCGTCGATTCATGCAAGGTCGGCTTCTTGTTGTCTTGCGTCTGTCACATCAAGGGGTTGTTGAGATTGACACTGTCCGAGGTACCGGAGCTTTGGAAGCTTATGGGGCTGTCGTCATTCATCGAGGCCACATGCGTACTGCACGACGCTCTGTTGAGCAGGCTAAGCAGCTGCTCGAGATTGCCATGCAAGGAGAGCGTGTGGTTCGGGAACTCGAAGTCGAAGGATGGGCAAGTTTCCTGGAGGCCCAGGATGCCACCGGAGAAATTATTCCATCCAAACCGCACCCATGTTACCGCTGCCGACGTCCCCAGACCCCATGTAAGGCAGGGGTTGAGGAGGATGATGCTGGTGATCCGGCACGCCCGTCCGTTGACATTGGTTTGTGTGGCGTTACCGCCCAGTCACCCCCTCAACGTTTTTCCTTGTTTGTGCCTCCTTCTGAGATGGATTCGGAAGTCGCACGGATCTTGGGAGCTGCGGACTCGGTGTCGGTTCGACCGATGCCAGATGTACAAAGTGGCCAGCAAGCTTGGCTCACGTGGGCGATATCTCAGCCGGCAGCCGGGTCCTACCCTGGCATCCGATTGCTGGATTCTTTGGCTGAAGAATGTCACCCTCGAGGGAGTAGGCGGATCTGCTCTTCTCGATTGCCTGGGAGCCGCCCTAAGCGGCTTCTCGGGCACACTGCTATTAGTGGTTCCAGCCCTGACGGCCTTGCTGGCGCGCCAGCTACGAGGCCTTCACCTGAGGCTTATCCCTCGGGTTTCCCCTGCGCCAACCCAACATGGTGGTGCGTTTCGGAAAGCCTTTGGGCAGGGCTGGAACCCTTTGCGTCCGGCCCTGAAGCAACGGTTTTATTGGATTGGTGTCGGTGGGTTCTTACGGGTGAGTCCGCCCTGCCCGAAGCAGGGCCCTCACTACCAGGCACCTCTCGACGTCCGCCCGTTCTTTGGCCTGCGGCTCCCCACCCTCCCTCCCTGGCGGGGGGCGGGTCGGTGCCAGAAATGGCTGAAGTTGAGGAAGAGAGGGTGGGGGAGGCCCTGTTCGAGAAAGCCTCTGAGTATCTCGACCTGTGCCGATCCGACTTCTCGGTTGAAAAAGCCCAACAGGCTGGCCGACTTGGAGCTGAATTAATCTCCTCGGCTGGCACTGTTGAAAAGGCTGTCCACGTCTTGAACACGGCTCGTGTGCAAAAACTTGGAGATCATCTGACTGGTGCTAAGCAAAGTGCCTCTGATGCCTCCAAACTTGTGCCCATGAAGGGGTACCGAGCCGAAGAGAGAAGCCTCTTACCAGGGAAGAGGCGAAAAACCATGGGTCAGTGTATGGTTACGAGGAGGAACTCCTCCAAAAGGCCTGGAAAGATGCAGCATACGGAGCAGCCCTCTTCGTCGATCCGGAAGTGGGGAAAGTCAGCCAACTTCTCGACCGTGCCGGAGTCGCTGAAAGCCCACTAGACAGAGTGCCGAAGCAGAACCCGGACAGGACGATCTCGGCAGAGGGCCGACCTATCAATGACATGAGGCGACAGAATGACGCGGGATCTAAATTTAATCACCCCCCGGCGCCACAGCCAAGACATCACGCGGTCGCTCGACAATCACTTTGGTGGCGAGCGAGGCATCCCGGGGTGCCACAGAAGTGTGCTAAAAGGGATGTGCCCCGAGCATTCAAGTGGCATTTCCTGCGAGCAAAAGATGTCCCTGAGTTCGCTGTGAAGCTGGCGGGGCTCATCATCCTCAGTCTGGCCATGCCCTTCGGCTGGGTAGGTTCGCCGGGAGAGTTTGTAGCGTGGAGTGCTGCCGCCAGAGCGCACCACGGGTCGTTCCGACCGATGGACCCAAAGTTCAATGACGTGGTCCCTTTCGAGTCGAAATGGCTAATGGATGACGGCGTGGTTGTCGAGCCGATGGTCGGCAATCGGGTGTTTGACTCTCTCGCGGTACTCGATGAGACGATGCAGCTTGTGTGGGGCCCTGAGGGAGTGAACGTGGAAAAGATGGCAGAGGAAGGCGAGCCTTCCACGACCCAACTTCTCTGGGGCCTACACATGAACTTTGATACGCAGGAGGTGCGGCTCCCTGAACCGAAACGCATCAAGGCCAAGTATCTCCTGGGTGAAACCGCCCTGCAGAGGGGTTGCCGAGAGGTCCCCTTACGCCTGCTGCAGGAGTTGATCGGCTGCGCGCAATATTGGACTGTGGCCTGCCCAGCCCTCACCCCCCATCTTCCCACTTTGTACCACCTGCTTAAAGGAAACCTGCAAGGCAAAGGGGGTTCCGGGAGTAAGAGAGCCAACAGCACGCTGGTGCAGGTCGAAGCCGTCAGTGCCAATGAGGAGAATCGACGGTGGGAAGACTTCTGGGATGCTCTCGACTTTATTAGGCTGCAGCTCGAGGCGCCACTGCAGTGCAGTTTCGTCTCGGTCTTTGAGAAGCTGCTTCCAATTCGAGAGCGGCTCGCTCTCCCGGGTGTGACCGCCCGTGCACGGATCACAGGACGAGACGCAACCCTCGAACGAATTGGGGCTGTCGACTGGAAGGCTAAGGTTTTCCACGCCGAACATGTTGATCGGTATCGCGAAGGTCTGCAGAACTTAGCTAGAGAGGGTGAGGAAACCGACATTATTTCGGTTATGGAGCTTCTCGCTTTCGTTGCGCTGGCCTGTCACCGCAGAAACGAATGGGCTGGCGAACTGGTCTTGTATGTCACCGACAACATGAACGTCAGAACTTGGCTGCATAAACGCAGGCCACGTAATCGAGCCGCTAGCTTGCTGGTGCGTCTGGTTCAGCGTTTGGAGTCTGAGAATCATTTCACGGTGCATCCGATCTACATCCGAACGTATCGTAACCAACTCGCCGACTGGCTTAGCCGGGAGGATTTGCAGGTGGTCCGTGAACAGCTCGCAGCCGAAGGATGGACAGAAGTGGCGACAGGGCTCCAGTGGGAGGACTTCTTGAGAGACGCGGAGCGTTCCGCTCTGGTTTATCCAACCGGGGACGATCCCCAGGGACACGTGGCGCGGCAACTCACGCATCCAGCCGAACCGGCTCCTAAACCGCTGAAACAGGTTTGCCTGCGTGTCCCGTGGCAACCGCTTCATGTGGAAGAGTATCCGGAAATCACCAGTTGTGGGATCGCCCTCCGCCTTTTCGGGGTCTGGAGTTCGGAAGACCAACCGTATGCTTGGTACACGTTCTCGCAAGACCCATCGGGGAGGGAGCGAAAGCGATTCGAATGTATTTTAGAAGCCAACAGCACCCGGCTCAAGAAGTTGGTTGTTGACTGCCCGCGGCAGTTTGACACTACACAGCTGGATCAAACTTTAAGGGTTTGCTTCCCCAATGTGGAGACCTGCCAGTACATTAGCTCGAACCTCGGAGCAATCACCGCCCGCAGAAGAACTTTAGTCTTCTGTTGGAGAGACGTTTCCCCTCCTCCCACTTTCTTGGGCCAGTACCGAGCCAACCCCCCCCCCCGTCGATGCAGATGATTCCTCTTGATAGCGGGACTATCTCAGAAGTCCATTGTATCTCGGGAGTGCTCACGCAGGAGCCGGGGATTGTTACCACTGGCGATCCCTGGTTGCCTCATCCATTCGGGCATGTCAAGGGCCCAGGCGTTCCGCCCAAGTGCCTGGT